CGGAAATGCATCGCGGGTGCATAAAGTGCATCTAGAAATGCATCGCATCCGAGAAACTTGCCAAAGTGCACGAAATACCGCAAAAATTGGTACTCGGGGGTTTTGGGGGGCGCAGAATTCGAATATGCATATATCCAGTCCACCCGACCCCCCGGGGGGCGACTTCTGTCCGCCTGGTGGGCGCGGGGGCGCGGGGGGCACATGGATTGCAAGGTTCTCCGAATGACTGGAAACGTGGATCACGGGGGTTTTCGCGGGTGCTGATTCCGAATTCGAGGGTGAAAAATATCCCCTGTGCTCGTGGAAGGGGGCACTGGGGGGGAGGGGTTGGGTATGAAATCTAAAGTTCCCGGAATGACTGGAAAAATGGATCTCGAGGGTTTTTGCCGGTGCTGATTCCGAATCTGACCCTGCCAAATGCGTCCGATGACTATTTTGGGGAAGGGCGTTAATCCTCTAAGAAGGATGAATATAAATTAATGGAAAATCATGGGACGAAACTCAATCTAAAAAGTTCGGTTGGAAAAAGGAAGGATAAGCCTGATAATTTTTTTAAATATATTTATTGTTCTAAAGTATAAAAGTATATTTATTGTTTTCAAATATATATTGTCTTAAAATATATTCAATGCACATTCCTTCTGTATTAATTGTCACACGGGCTCATTTATCAAACAACTATATAAACAACTATAAGTACCAAACAAAATTATCTTCCTCCTCTTCCTCTTCCTCGTTCTCTTCCTCCTCCTCCCCCTCCTAAGATTAATCGTTATTGTTCATTTTCTGTTACAGTTTTTCGAGTGATCTTAACTTCTTAACTTATACACTTAATTATATTGAAGTTTCTCGGACTCCTACTGCTCACTTTTTGCTCAAAATCATGTATGAAGGAATCAAATTATAGAACTGTACTCTACCAACTTTGAAATCTATATACAGGGTGTTTCTGAAATAAGTGCGTTCCTTTAAAAGCGTGATAGAGGGCATGAAAATGAAATTCTAGTAAGCATGGTCTAAAACATTACGTTTTAAATTGAAAAAAAATCACATGAAGGTTTAAACAAATTTAAAGCCGTCCCTGGTGCGTCAGCCAGAAAACATCTTTGATATCGAAGCTGCCGCGTGCCACAGTGCGAAACCGCTGATGGCGATTTTGACGGTTTAAACTTTGTGTTCGAAAATGTTACGGTAACGAACCGCATACAAAGACAAGTCTCATTTAAATTGTACTGACATTCTCCGTACATTCACACCATATCTGTTAGTTCTTGACCAGAAAACATTTTATACGCCGGCTAAGTAATGCTACAACAAACAAGTAAAGAACAGTACTGACCTACCATCAGATTTGCTTGATTGTAGAAGTCACGTGGAACGTCAGCCAATTAGAGAAGCGCTTCACGCATGTAGCGAGTCCAAAGCATTCTGGCAGCGCACATGCACAAGATGCACAGGGTCGGCTTACATTTATGGTTAATTTTCTTAATTAATTTTCTCGAAAACAGAAGCATTTAGACCATCAGTTGCTCAATAAAAGTTGCTCAATTTCGTGCCCTCTACCACCCTTTAATAAACTAGTTCTTCAGTAACTGATTAAAAATGCATGCGTTAGGCGGAGCCACAAAAAGTACACATCGACACAAATAAATTTGCGTTTCTAACTCAGGCAGAGATAAGATGTAGCCGAGGCGATTTCGGATAGAAACCTTTTCCTTGACATGTCTATACTCGGCGGCCGAAATTATAAAGAGTGACTAATACATAATATAAAAACACTATTACCATAATGCGTATAAAATATAAAATGATTTCTATACGGTTCAATATTATTTATCTTTGTGCCGCTCGCCATGCACATCGGTAGAATCTATAATCGTGTATAGACTGAGTTACACTGAACGTCGATCTATATTTTATCTCTGTCTTTTGCACTTGGTAGGGAATAGGGAAATGCTTTTAGTGGGTGTAAACGGACTTGATTTGCCCGACCTGAGAAACGTCATAGCATAAGCGTAGACGAGGGGTCTAATTCCATGGCTATAATAAATTTATAAATTAAAAAAACACAACTGGGACGTTTTAAAATGCTGTAATAATTAAAATTGATCAAAGTGCCGGTTATAGCAAACCGTAAAAAATATTAGATGTTATGTTTTATTATGTTTTTTCAATATTTTCTATATCTTGTTGCCTTTTACGCAGACACGCCAATGGATTTTCGTTCCCGACACGCTTCATCCCCCTTACTAGTCCAAGAGCTAGCGATGAATCACTATCTATAATTTTGGCCGTCGAGTATAGTGCGCATTTGTGGGCGGAGCTATCTTACGTTTTGGGTTCTAACTTTGAAACCACATATTTAAGTAAAATTTAGTAAAATGAGCAGCAACAACTAGAGTTTATTTTTTTAAAAGTCCAAAAGCTTTTGAATAGGTTGGTCATAGCTTACGATAAACAAGTTAAAGATTGAAAATAAATATTTACGTAATAATCAAAATGAGAAAATTTAAATATCACTTCGACAGGTGTTTCAAAGCAGCTGCCCGTAAACTTTTTTATTCTACGAACGTTTGTGCACTGGGAACATGAAATAACATTCCAAGATTGTTATGAATTTGATTACAGTTTTATGTTATTCACAGTTTTTCTAGTACAGAGCCTTCATAAATGTTTACAAGCCACGTAACCACCGAGCTTAGGCAACCCAACATTGCATAATTGGTACTGGTAACAAAAATTCCCTAGATCTTGGCGTCACCAATATTAATGACTCGCTTACAACGATCAATAATAAACCGTTACGACAACGCTCGAGATAATGCGATCGCTGATTGGTGGAATAGTATCTCGTGTAAAACTACACCAATCACAGTTGATCAAACAGAATGTTGCGTCTTAATGTGATCTTGATCTTATTGTTAATAATTTTTAATTTTACCGAAATTTAATTGCCAATCTGAAGGAAATAAAATTATGGTTCCAAACAAAATTACTGGTCACCTGGCTTGTAATCATTTATGAAAGCTCTGTATTTGCGAGTGTTAAATAAATGTGTTCTTTTGGACGACCCCACAAAAAAGTTAAATAGATTTAGGTAAGGCAACCTAGGTGTACATAAAATATACCTCGCCTTTACCCATCGAACACCAAAAGCTTGTTTTTGGCTCACCAAACACTGCAAATGTGGTGAGCACAATCGTGCATTTTGGACACTTGCTTAGCAAATTGTTAACTTGTTGCTCTTGGTTATTTCATAGTTAAACAAATAAAAAATCGTAAAAAATTAAATTCTGCTTGTTGCAAACTAATTGCTGACTAATTGTTAACTAATGAAGAGTACTTTCTTACGGAAAACATCTTTAAAGTGGTTTTACTAAATAATAGTTTCCCTTTGCATGTTATCAGTGTAAAATTATGAAAAAATGTGTGTTGGGCCCATTCGTTTCTGGATACTCTGTAATAAATCGGTTTAACATCAAATCATGAAATCTATAATACAGTCGTAGTACAGTAGGTACGTCTAATTGTTATCAAAATATAAAAGGTAAGTTCGAATCGAACCTGTAAATCTACTGGTATCCTTTTGGTTCCGGATATCTCCGTTAGGAAAAAATATAAGGAGTACTAGTATTATTTTGACATCTCCTATTCCGAGCGATTAGTTGCACCCGGTATTTTTACCATTGTTAGTTAAGAATTAAAGTATACCCTACACCTACATCACACCAAGTTGCTCTTTCCTGAAGCAAGTAGCAGTGGGAAAGGAAAAATACTTTTATTCTGTAGATCCATGGTAAAAAAAACTACCTATTTAAAAATTATATATTTTTTTAGGTCTTGGATATCTTCAATACGATTCGACACGCAGGCGTGATAGGCCTATGGGCCTCACCGGTAAGCGGCAAAAAGCCTGGGGGGAAGCTCGGACCCCCCGTGATGCGCCAGTCCGGATTTGGGAAATTAGGGGGATTCTTAAACACAGCCGTTTCGGCTACCAAGAAAACCGCTCCAGGTAAGCCACAACTTTCTTGAAAAATCTTGAGAGCATGTAAAACGACTTCGCAAACTGCTACAATTGTACATACTACCATTGAGTTTAAAAGTAAAAGAAGTTCCTTGGGCCATTATCATTAAAAAAAAAACCTTAATGAATCAAGGATCTAAAGCCAGTTCTCAAGATCGTATGATTTTTTTTCTAAATACTTATACGATTTTAAACACAATCTAATCATGAAGAGTATGAGAAAATAATTGGCACATTTTTCCCGTGCCAAAAAATGAAAAATTTCTACTCCATTGGTTTATTCAGATTTGTCATAATTAGGCTATATTTAAAACTTGCATTTCTAGCGAAATAAATCCTATGATTTTATTTAGAAATAACTAGAGTTAGTATGTTACATTTTGTGAAGTGTTTTGTAGCGGTAATGTTAAGATAAAAAAAGTAATAAATCGGAAATGATCCTTTTCTTGAAAACACCACTAGAAGTTACAAGCAGTGACTGAACACAAACAAAGAGTTACAAAGAGTTACAAAGAGAGAGTTAAAATACCTTGCATCTACAAATTGTAGGTATATGATGAATGTGCCAATTGAATTAGCAATGTTAATAACAATAACAATACTCGTAAATTTAATTTAAAGTACTGTAATTCTTTTCTGCTTCAAGTTCATTTAAAATTTAACAGAATTGTAACGGTAACAATTAACAAATTAAATAATTTAATCATAAAGATCTAAAAAAAAGTTAAATACGGATCTGCAGTCGTTCGCCGCGGCCATCTGCTGCCACCTTGCAGTTCTAAATCAAAACATAACCACCTTATTCTAATTCGTTCCTCAACCGTATCCGGTGAAGTCGCTGTAGTTACTGTCGTTGATCATTTTTTGTGGCCTGTGGTCTCTCTCATGACGCCGTGTTGATTGTTGTAAAGTGTACCTACGAAGTCACGTCCAAAGAATAGATTTTCTGTGAGATTAACGAAAAAATATTCACATGAAGTACCACGAAAGGACCTTAGTCAACGGGAAATCAGGCCACGACACACCGAAACGTTCGCGAATTTCGAATAGCCCGCTCGTGAACCGTGTTATGGCCGGTAAGTTGTGTTGCAACATCGCCGTTTCTCGCCAACCGTGACCCCGATGAGGGGATATGTGAATTTTACTTGTGCAAAACAACTGTTTAATTATAAATAATGGAAGGTAATTTTGTTATTTGATATGGTGCAAACGATCGCATATTCTGAGAAGCAGTGACAGTCTGTGTTTTTTTGTTGGTCAAAAAATACGCCACATTCCTATCAAGAACTTCATGTCATGCCCATGTCGCTAAAACTCGGAGGGAAACTTTCTCTATACTTACGAGTCATAAAATTCAACCTCAAACATTCTACCTGCTTTTATGTTCACAAAAAATTATTCTGGTTTGTTATTCTTTGAGCCAATATGAACGCCAAGTTCCTAATGGCAGATCTTTTTTTCTCTTATTCTCTGTCTGACATAGATGTGTACACTTGAAAACAAATATATGAATCAAGTTTTACTAACATTCGGAAACGTTTCTATTGCTTTATTTAACAAATCCTGCTCTAATTTGCATTCAACTTTTTTCTTTAAAATAGGTTAGGGTCGAGGTTAAAGCAGAAATTATAGCAGATACACCTACCTACTGTAACTTTTGTTAGTAACATGTTACTATTATTATCTGTTATTGAAATTACTACAGAAAGTCTATCTGGAACAAAAATGAACATCAAATTAATGTCACCTACCAAACCAAGTAAAAATAAACAGTAATTTAAAATTTCATTATAATATATTAATTTAACATAAGTTGTCTCTATGATTAGGTTTCTTTGTAACAGAATTTAACATTTATTTTGCTAAATTATACATTATCTCATGCAGATAATGGAAACAAATGTTTGAATTTCATTATCTCATGTTTTTGTTATGTATACAACTTTTCCCTTATTTCAAATAAAATTTTGCTTGTCTATATATTATAAAAAAGATGCATTTAGTTATTATGAAATCAAAGATAAACATGACAATTAATATTTATGAATTCATTTAGAGAATTTAAACAATATGTTAATATGTACCTACTTATATAACTTAAACCCACTTTTAAATCATAAGTCTAGAGTTAATTTCTGTTGTGTTATTTTTACATAACATATAACCTATAACATATAACATAACCTACATAGGTAGGTTATCACAACTGACTTTTTTTCAAACATCTTTCTAACACCACCCAAATTGAAAAATGGAGATGTAAAAGGCAATATAATAATTAAAAAATATATAATCTTTGCTGATTAAAATCCTTTACTTACATCAATATCATATCAATTTTGCTTGATTAAAGAAATCTATTAACATGAATAAATCCTTTTACCAAATATACTTATAATTAAAAAAAATCATTGAGTTTCAGACTAGATACCAAATAAATGCGAGTTAATACTTAATCATATTAATTATTTTAAACATATCCAAATAGCTTCAACTTCTTTGATCCATGTTTGTTTCAGGGAATTTATATGGTAGATCAAACTTAATTAACCTTGACTTATAAATTTGTGTATCTATTTGTATTGTTTTTTGCATTCATCATTTATATCATTCTATCTTATTTTAAATTGTGGCTTCAACATTAGCACCATATCATGATATTACTAATTAAATCTCACAAGATTTAATAAGCATGTAATTTAAACTGTTCTATATTCATGTGTGCTTTTTAACTCATTGCCTAAAATTCATACCCAATACGGAGAAGTGGAATTTATTTATTTAATTAGTTTATGTAAACTGTTAATAGAATATAGTTAATCATGCTACTCGGTTTTTGCTTAATGTGTATATAGTATAAAAATTGAGAGATAAATAAATTCCATAGCATAGTCGTGAACTTTTAAAAAATGGTAAAAAAATATATTTTTGTATCTAGGAAATGGAGACATTCAGTGGTGCTTTTCTCAAGTGAAAGGGACATTAGATGATGACGTAACTGAAGCAGATATTATATCATGTGTAGAGTTCAACCACGATGGCGAGCTGTTAGCAACTGGAGACAAGGGCGGACGTGTAGTTATTTTCCAACGTGATCCAATTTCCAAGACGGTACTTCCGCGACGTGGTGAATACAACGTGTATTCTACCTTCCAATCACACGAGCCAGAGTTTGACTACCTCAAGAGTTTAGAAATTGAAGAGAAAATAAATAAAATTCGATGGCTTAAGCGGAGAAATCCAGCCCATTTCCTGCTTTCGACAAACGATAAAACTATAAAATTGTGGAAGGTTTCCGAAAGAGACAAAAAGGTTGAAGGTTACAATACAAGATCCGAAAATGGTTCACTCATAGATCCTGCCAATGTTAGTGCGCTTAGAGTACCTTCAATAAAGCCCATGGAGTTAATGGTTGAAGCTTCCCCACGAAGAATATTCGCAAACGCACATACTTATCATATAAATTCCATATCGGTTAATTCGGACCAAGAAACTTATCTTTCTGCCGATGATCTGAGAATTAATCTGTGGCATCTTGAAATTACAGATCAGAGTTTTAATATTGTAGATATAAAACCTACGAATATGGAGGAGCTCACCGAGGTTATAACGGCAGCAGAATTTCATCCTGTAGAGTGCAACTTGTTTGTTTATAGTAGTAGTAAAGGGACAATTCGGTTATGCGATATGAGAGCTGCTGCTCTTTGTGATAGGCATGCCAAACTGTTTGAGGAGCCCGAAGATCCTACAAACCGAAGTTTTTTCTCAGAAATTATTTCCAGTATTTCCGATGTGAAGTTATCGAACAATGGCCGATATATGATTTCTAGAGACTATTTATCTGTCAAAGTTTGGGATTTACACATGGAGACTAAACCTATCGAAACTTATCCTGTGAGTATTATTAGCATGTTATTAACTGTTTGGTGAACGTAAAGGGTACCCCAAAATTCATGCAAGAAGTTATTTCGATAGAAAACAAAGGTTTTTAATTAAAAATTGTAAATTTTTTATTGCTTCAAGAAGTATACAGTATAGAGTTATTTATGGAATAGCATATGGGGTAAATCTTTCTTTTATCAAAATTTTCCATGAGTGTTTTGCATAAATGGGGTTGAATTTTGTTGATACAGCCTTTAATTTACTCCTTCAAAGCCGGTCATGGGCTTGTTGGCATTTCAAAAAACCTTAAAGAAAAAAGTCAAATGGCATCAAATTTGTGATCTGGGTGGCAAATTCTGATCACCAAAACTGGAAATTATATGATTAGGAAATGACTCGTACCATAATTAAATTTTTTCTCAGGTTGTATGGCATGTGGCACCATCTTATTGAAACCACATGTCATCTACATCCATATCTTGCAGCTTAGGCACGAAAAATGTGATTATCATGTTGCAATAGCGAGCACTATTAACTGTTATTACTTGATTAGCATTTTTGAAGAAGAATGATCCGATGATGCCTCCAGATCAAAATCTGCAGCAAACGGTGACACTTTGTGGATGCATTTGTTTCTCAACAATCAATCGTGGATTTTCTGAACCCCAAATGCCATGATTTTGTCAATTAATGAAACCAGCACAATAAAAATGAACCTTATCGCTGATGATTTTGTTCGGAAAATCTGCATCCACTTGTTCTATAATTCATTCAACGAAATCTACTCCGTTGAAGTTTGTAAGCATGAAGAATGAAATCTTTCGTAAGAATACACAGTAGAGAGCTTCTTGAAATGCCCAATTCTTAACCACAGTGCTGCTAATTGATCTGTCTTCAGTCTTCCTGAATTTTTGAATTAATCTATTATTTTTAAAATATTGTTGAACAATGTAAACGTATTGTTCTTTTGTGTAGCGTTCCATTTTTAATACCCTGAATTGTCAGCTGTCACAAGTGTCACACTGTTTTTTCTCTCGTTGGCAGCACTATACTACCAAACAAATGGTGCAAAATTCAAATCTTGCTTCAATTTTGGGACTCCCGATATAACATTGTACTTTTTCAAAAAGTAGTTATAAAAATATCTATATTACAAAATGATACAGCCGAGGGGGAAACCACTGCCTAAAATTTGTTTATTAAAATAATAGAAAATGAGTAAACGGGAATGTGAGGTAGCGTGTGTCGTATGTGCAACATAAACAATTGTTTTAATACTTAAATGTTACTCTAACTTGTACAGGGTGGGCAAATAAGCGAGGTAAGCGGCTGTATCTCAGAAACTAATGATCGTAGAGAGCTACGGTAAAAAATTTTATAGGTAAAGTGGGCAAGGGAAAATGCTGGAAATTATTTTCAAGTTTCCAAGATGGCCGCCAGTGGGCGTTTCCACCATATTGAATTACATAAAGTTACGTTTCTCACGATTTTCCCCAATGAATGTAACAAAAAAGTATTTGCGTTTTAATGTTAACTTAAAGTCGAACATTTTTTGTAAAAACAATTTTTCTCTATCTTTCGAAATAAAGTGGTGGGGGGTATTTGAATGTTGTTTGAAATAAATGCCTGTAACTTCGAAACGGCTTAATGGATTTGGATAAATTTGGTATCATTGAAAAGAGCATTTCTTGGGCTTTTAGGTTTCTCGTAATCATGACAGTTGCGACCTACACGGCCGCCGATAGAGGGCGTTATTCGATATTATAACCAAAATATTGGATTTTCTCAAAAAATTTAAATGCGATGATATGACTTTTTTTAGACTAGAAAATAGACAAATGACCAACCAATAAGCCTGCGCAAACCGCATCTTAATATCTTTTTCCTAACTCAAATTATTTAAAAAAATACTAAACCAGGAAAATTCATATATCCCCATTTAAAAATGCATCGGTTGCTTTCGATAAGAAGGCAAGTAGTAGGCCATGGACACGACAATCGCCTAACAAAAATATTGCCAAGTAACGTCAAACTTTTGTCACACGCAGCCTAATATTGTTGATTGCGTATAATTTGAGTACTTTTTAATCAAAATGCCTCTCACAAATAATGAAGCCGTTGACATGATTGCGATTTATTTCGAGTGTTTTCAAAATGCAGCTATAGCTGCAAGACAGTACGCGGCACGGTATCCAGATCGCCGTCATTACGGGAGAAGAATGTTTCCGCGCTTGGTACAGCGATTACGCGATACTGGAAGTTTTCGTCGTCCTAAACGTCGCAGGCGTCGCAATGGAAGGACCGAAGAAAACATTATCAATGTCTTGGCTTACATAGAATTTGATAGACATGTAGGAACTAGAACATTGTCTCTAGACTTGGGAATAGCACGAACAACTGTTAGAAATATTTTGAAAGATTATAGGTAAATAATTTTATCTTATTCCAAGTATCTTAGCACATACTCTCAAATACACAATTCAGTGTTATTCTGATTATATTATTTTTACGCATATGTTGTTTTTTACTTTTAGATTACATCCTTACCACATAGTTTTGCACCAGGCGCTAAATGAACAAGATTTCGATAATAGATTAAATTATTGTCAATGGATGCTAGGCATGCTTGAGGAAAACAGAAATTTCTTAACGGAAATTCTCTGGACCGACGAGGCTACCTTTAGTAGTGATGGTAGAGTAAACCGTCATAATATGCATTATTGGTCCGCTGAAAATCCGCATTGGTTAAGAGAAGTGCAGCACCAGGGACGCTGGAGCCTAAATGTGTGGTGCGGTATCATTGGGGACAGAATTATTGGACCTTATTTTTTTGATCAAGCTTTAACTGGTAACCGCTTCTTAGAGTTTTTGATCAACGACTTGCCAATTTTGTTGGAAGATGTGCCACTCGAAACTAGGAGAACTATGTTTCTGCAATTAGATGGTTGTCCGGCACATTATTCAATTAATGTCCGAAACCATATTAACGGGACCTTTCGAGAACGCTGGATAGGAAGGGGAAGCCTATTTCCTTGGCCGGCAAGATCTCCGGACTTGACATGTCTTGATTTTTACTTGTGGGGACGCTTAAAAGACATTGTTTTTCAAACTCCACCAACAACACGAATGGATATGGAAAACAGAATTCGAAACTCAATTCGTCAACTATCAGCGGTAGAAATCGAGGCTGCGGTTCTGTCGACTCAAGAAAGACTGGAACAATGTGTGGAATATGACGGAAGGCAATTTGAACACAGAAGGCATTAATCTTTTTTCAAAATCGGTCCTTTTCAGGACCACAACTTTATTTAAAAGGAAAATCGCTTATAAATACGAAAACGTGCGACTTAAAATCACAGCACTAAATAAACTGACATTTCTTGTGAATATTTTAGAGAGGAGTTTGTCTTTTATTTCCATGGCCTACTACTTGCCTTCTTATCGAAAGCAACCGATGCATTTTTAAATGGGGATATATGAATTTTCCTGGTTTAGTTTTTTTTTTAATAATTTGAGTTAGGAAAAAGATATTAAGATGCGGTTTGCGCAGGCTTATTGGTTGGTCATTTGTCTATTTTCTAGTCTAAAAAAAGTCATATCATCGCATTTAAATTTTTTGAGAAAATCCAATATTTTGGTTATAATATCGAATAACGCCCTCTATCGGCGGCCGTGTAGGTCGCAACTGTCATGATTACGAGAAACCTAAAAGCCCAAGAAATGCTCTTTTCAATGATACCAAATTTATCCAAATCCATTAAGCCGTTTCGAAGTTACAGGCATTTATTTAAAACAACATTCAAATACCCCCCACCACTTTATTTCGAAAGATAGAGAAAAATTGTTTTTACAAAAAATATTCGACTTTAAGTTAACATTAAAACGCAAATACTTTTTTGTTACATTCATTGGGGAAAATCGCGAGAAACGTAACTTTATGTAATTCAAGATGGTGGAAACGCCCACTGGCGGCCATCTTGGAAACTTGAAAATAATTTCCAGCATTTTCCCTTGCCCACTTTACCTATAAAATTTTGTACCGTAGCTCTCTACGATCACTAGTTTCTGAGATACAGCCGCTTACCTCGCTTATTTGCCCACCCTGTACATCAAATTACTTCCGCGGTTTCTCCAACAGATACATTTGCAAACTAATATAATGAAAAATATTGTTATTGCTTCAGTTTTAATGAACAAACTTTACTTAAACAAAATATAAGTATATACAGGTTTTTCCACTGAAAATAATCAACCTGGTAACTTTGATTTTTATTTATTTTTTTTAATTGAGATACAGTACAGGGTGTCCCGAAATTAATACAACAAAATTTGGTCACGGATTGTTAAGCCAAATTTAGGGGACCCTCTTGTCTTTGGAGCCAAAAAATGTGGTTGCATATTTAAATTTCTCAAAAATTATTTGTCCACTAGAAAGCCATTAAATTTAGAAACTTTTTGTACCGTGATACTTTTTTCGTAAAACCCAATGTTTTCGAGAAAAATGTCAAAATGTGATCGAATGCATATCGTGATACACCATTTTTCTCAAAAACATTGTGTTTTACAAAAAAAATATCGAGACAAAAAAGTTTCTAATTGCAGTGGTTTTCTAGGGAACTAGTAATTTTTAAGAAATTCAAATATGCGACCAAATTTTTTTGATTCCTAAGACAAAGAGCCCATGAAAAAGTATCTTAAGGGGGTTCCCCACCAAAAAGCGTAGCACTATCAATTCCACATGTCATAAAACCCCTGTGTATCAAATTTAGTGATTCTCGTACAAGATCCTGAGTTATGAAAAGGACTATTCTTAGGGGAGGATTTCGGGGGCTGTAACTCCGAGAAGGGCCATTTGGCAAAAATAAAAAATATGGGTTTCCTAAATTTGTCTTAAGAATCTACGACCAAATTTTGATGCATTAATTTCGGGACACCCTGTATTTTAAAATATAAATGTTTCATATCTTTGCTTCATTAGCTTTTTTTCCTAGACATTTCACTCATTACATTACAGCCAATTACATATTTATTAGTACATGATCAATTATGCCATTATTATATTGACAAAATTTAACTCTACTGACATTTTATCTCAGTTCAAACCTTTTATAACCTGTAACTGGATTGAATTTTGAAATATACTTGTAAGATACATAATTTATAATAATTCTCCTTCAAACTGCTGTTGTTGACTAACTTAACCTCCATATGCGTGATAGCGGCAACGCCGCGGTTCTCGACGTAGCGTATTATTTGAAATTCGCAGGCATGACATATGATGTATATTTCAAGTTTAGGCATCCAAACAAACAGACTGATCGAACTCGAGCGAGCGAACGCCGTGCCGAGCGCGCCAGCCAAGTACAACGTTGCAAAATCTAAAGGCTTACTACTTAATCACTAGCGAATCTACAAAAACTCTCATTTGACTTCAGACGTACCCGATAAACCTCCTTAAATGATGTGTGTAGTTTCAGGAATTTGTATATTTATATTCCATCAAAATATTTCAAATTGAACTCACTATGACATAGAGCACTTTCCAAAAATGTGTATTTGTCTCTAAGATGTACCATTTTGAATTAAAGGAAAAAATGTATAACAATTCAGTTAAAAGTTTCGGGTCATAAAGTTATTTTTCAAATAATAATCATAATTTGAATAATTATGTTATCCATGAATAAAATAAAATAAAACATATATATTTTGCAACAAGCGATGAAAATGCTGTTTTTTCATGAGTGAACTAATTGTCTACGAGTTGCATCAGTGGCAAGTGGGGTAAGTTGACGAACGAAGTATTTCATCTTCAGTTCAAAATGCTATTTTTTCTGTTCGATTTATGTTCAATTTAATTCAAATTGGATACAGCAGGTTATTATTCTTCTATTTGTTTCCACCGAGGCTTCCACATAACAACACTATGGAATCTAGTTAAAATGACCCTTTTTATTTTCATTTTTTAAATATTTTTTGGTGCATACAAAACATTGAAATGAAGTTAATACATAATAAAAATTTGACATTTTCACTTTCGCTTTAGGAGATAAAAATATCAGTTTTGGCTTCAGAGGTAAAAAATATCACTTGTATTGACTAAGTTATGAGAAAATCCTATTTTCACAAATATGAAAATGTCTTTTCCTACACTTTTTTTTACAAATTGAAATATCCCTTTTTTACAAATTGAAATATCCCATATCTTTTCATTAATTTTGCATCTGTATCTCAAAAATAAGCGTTTTCGTTTAGTAGGACATGTTTATTAATATATGACAGAACCGTTATTAAATTTTGGGCAAACATTTTAGTTTGTAAATACCTACTATTGGTATAGCAAAATTTCTAATGTACAACAAGAAATATGCTCAAACACTTGAAACCTTGCATTATTATGATCACACCTTCAGTGTACAATCTTAAAATAATCTTAGAATGATAACACAGCTCCACAAAAAAAAAAAAAATTAAAAAATTACTTCTTAGGTCTGACTATGTCTACCATATGTTTTCGGGTTCGATGAATCCGAATCCAGGGTCCATTTAACCTCATCACATCAGGATTTTTCATAACCTAAAAAAATAGGGCCAAAAACTTAATAAATCTTCTATTCATTGACCACTTAACTCCTATAACCCCATAACCTCGAAACCCAATAACCCCGACACCCATAACCCGACAAGAAAAAGACTTTTGTTGGGGGAGCCTATGTTTTGCCGATGAGATGTAGAAGGCTTCTGTTTACTTCGGGATGCTTTATTAGATACGGGGGATCCGACCCCAAGCTTCGTAATTTTTTGCCATGTGTTTGCGATGATGGCATGAACACCATTATCCAGAATCTCTGCCTGATGACGGAATAACTCAGTTGCCCACCTTCAACCCTGAATTGTGAAGACACGAATAAATAGTACAACAATGACGTACAAAGTTTAAATTCTTGAGAGTTCATGCAAAAGTCTATTCTTGACTGGATTTTGAGGTTATGAGGCTGCGTGGTTATGGGATCATTGGGAAATATGGGATTAAGGCTCAAGAAGCACGTATGGCTCGAACATACTGTGTTTCAGGGCTTAAACACTCATAAGTCTTCTTACCAGGTTATGGGCTTTTGAGGTTATGGAGTTATAAGATTTGATAGTGGTCAATGGATAGAGGATTTATTGGGTTTTTTGGGCTTATTTTTTGAGGTTATGAAAAATGTCTACCATACACAAAGGGACCATCCATAAATTACGTAAGATTTTTTTTTGGGGGGGGGGTTCAATTTTTTCATACAATTTCTTACAAAGAAGGGCGAGGGTGTCAAAGTCCATCTTAGGTAATATTTTTAAAAAATTTTGAATCTAAAAAATTAAGCATATGTATTGATTAGATCTTTGTGAATTAATTTTAGGTATTACATGACAAACTAGCAATATTTAATCATACAATAAATAGAAGTTGACTAGTGACATTATTACACTGACACAATAAAATACGATACCTTTGATTTATATAAAAATTACGTAATTGTTACAACTAACACAATAAAATACATTAATAAAATGCAAAATCTTCGATTTGTATAAAAATTACGTAATTGTTACAACTAACACAATAAAATACATTAATAAAATGCAAAATCTTCGATTTGTATAAAAATTACGTAATTGTTACAGCTAACACAATAATAGTATATTACGTAATAAGTGTTGTAAAAAGCATTTTACGCACGAATGGAAAAGTTACGCACGACGCCGCGTAGCGGCGAGTGCGTAATTCTATAAGTGCGTAATTGCAGTACACCACGTATTACGTACTATACTTTACCTACGACCACTACTGTAAATACTGTGATCAATGTAAGATTCCTATTTTACGTACTGTAAAAAAATCGCACAGTTTTTTAAAAAAATCGTAGTTTTCCTAGCAACTGCCTAGCAACGGTCAATACAAACAGTATTGTATTGACCGTTGCTAGGCTGTTGCTAGGAAAACTGTGCGATTTTTTACCGTACGTAATAGGAATCCTACATTTATCGCAGACGGTGTGTTTTTAAGTATTTACAGTAGTGGTCGTAGGTAAAATACATTAATAAAATGCAAAATCTTCAATTTGTATAGAAATTACGTAAGATAAGGGGGGTAGGGGTTGCGAAAAATCTTAGGATTCCTGAGAGGGAGGAGGGGGAGGGGGAGGGGTCAAAAATCCGTCAAAAAAGTCTTACTTAATTTATGGATGTCCCCATAGTCAGATCCCAGAAGTAATTTTTTCGATTTTTTTGTGGAGCTGTGTAATTATCTTAAATGTTGTCACGTTTCTTTACAGGTGCATGAGTATTTAAGGGCGAAATTGTGCTCACTATATGAAAATGACTGCATATTTGATAAATTTGAGTGCTGTTGGAATGGTAACGACACTGCAATAATGACTGGTTCCTATAACAATTTCTTTAGGATGTTTGATAGAACAACGAAGAGGGAGGTTACATTAGAAGCTTCGAGAGACATAGCAAAACCTAAAACAGTTTTAAAACCTAGAAAAGTTTGTTCACAGGGCAAACGAAAAAAGGATGAAATAAGTGTGGACTGTTTAGATTTTAATAAAAAAATATTACACACAGCATGGCATCCAACGGAGAATATCATAGCTGTGGCGGCAACTAATAACTTATTTTTATTTCAGGATAAGTTCTAGTGTAATATATAAAACAATTTTTCGTCGTATTCAGGTTGTTTTTTTTTATTGTTATTTATCTACTTTTATCCTTTTGGATAACCATCCCCTTATAAATTATGAATTTTATTATACTTTATTACAGTGTCTGATTGTTGTCAGAACCATACAGCATTCATTTGTTTTCAGCTTTACCGTAACAAACGTTTGAAGGCTGCAACTTTCTCACATAAAATCTCAAATTGTTATATTATTGTTGTGATAATTATAATAAAATAATTTCTTTTTTACATCCGACTATGTCTCCTTTATTTCTTTACTTTTTATTTTTTATTAAGTGTACCGTGCTGTGCATATGAAGTGGTACGAATTTTGAGGTTAAATTTGTTGGCCTTTATGTGAAAAAGCTTCATGCCTTTAAGCCAGTGTGATATTACTGATTGATATTGTTCTAAAGCTGTTTATTAGTAGAAAAATTGTGTAAAAAGATTAAGCGTATTTGACCGCTAATAAAATTTTACCTCAAAATTTTAATTCTTAACGACTAGGCGTGAACGGTTTTATTAAAGTTATGTATTAGAGGTTATTCACATCCTAATATACTAAAGTGACAATTTATGAATGTACATAATCAGAATTGCATTGGACTAGAAATGTTTCATACATAATCTTTTTTTTTTTTGTAACCAGAGCTTCGTTGTATGGTGTTACAGTTGCAAGGTGGAAAATATGATGTAAAATTGTACAAATTGTAAATAATATACATATAATTTTTTACCAGTATGTTTCCTAATGTAAAATTCTTTTTTGTCGTCAATATGGATCAGTGTATTAACCAGTGACGAGTTCTGACCTCATTCGATGCAGTTACTGCTATATTTAAGAAAATTAAATACTGCATGAAATGAAAAACTTAAGGGGTAATGCCACTCTAGAGGATAGAAAAAAAAGTGATTTTTGAGAATTTTTAGGGAAAAATTGATACAAGATATAGTGTCGGGAACAAAAAGGCTTTATTATACATGTTTTCAGGTAGTATTGTAAATTTTTTCTAATAATTTGGATTCAAAATGGCGCCTGTAGGTGATAGCAAGCAACGACACTTTTTTTTCAGAGGGCTGTATGGCCAGAAAGGTTTTTTTATTAACAGATGGTCATAAAACAAAGAAATAAAAATTTTCTGATATACGGGGTATCCCAAAAGTATGAAAACCCCAGAATAACTCGGAAGTAAAGGGCTATACGGAAAAACGTTTCATACAAAAGTTTCAGGATTTTTTCGAGCTATTCAGTGATGATTTTAAATTTGACCTTGGGCTTGACCTTGAAGGTCATTTCAATGTCAAGGTCATTTTTTCAAATAGGAACCCCTATTTTTTATCATGCCATTGGAAAGAGCGGAAAATTTTACGTCTGAATGTGGCTTTGCCCATGACCTTGAGATCATGGTTATTTCAAGGTAGGGGTCAATCTTTGTGAGGGTAACCCATATTTTTTATTGTGGACTTAGAAAGAGCGGAAAATTTTGCTTCCGATATGACTTCATGACCTTTATTTTTTAGACCACTTTTGTATGAAACGTTTTTCCGTATATCCCCTTACTTCCGAGTTATTATGCGGTTTCTAGGCGGTATCTATCAACAATCTTATTTGACCTTAAAATAACCTTGACGATGGTCTCAAGGTCATGGTCAAAAATTTTCAACTCCGCATGATAAAAAGTAGGGGTTTCCTTTTGAAAAAATGACCTTGACCTTGAAATGACCTTCAATGCCAAGGTCACAGTCAAGGTCATCATTGAATAGCCCGGGAAAAATCCTGAAACTTGTATGAAACGTTTTACCATATAGCCCTTTACTTCTGAGTTATTCTGAGGTTTCCATACTTTTGGGATACCCTGTATACTAAAAGTTAAGGAACATCGTAGGAAAATTAAAAAATATTTTAAAAATTGTTGGTTTAATAAACATTAAAAAAAAAAGGAAAAAAATTTTGCATTGCTAATAACAATGAAAGTTGTTAATCAAACAAACGTCTACGATGTTCCCTGAATTATGTTATTGTGAAGCTCTGTACAAAATTTCAAGTCAATTCATGTTCCCAGCCAGTTTTAAAAAAGTGGTTTCTTGAAAAATGCTTTTAAAGTGTTTATTGCCATTCAGTGTAACATTTGTTATATGTATACCTTATGAGCGATGACTGCACTGTACAATTGGCCTTCTGTATTCATCTTTTCTTCATCCTCTTCTTTTCGGCTTGATCTAGCCTCTATAATAGCTAACTATTGCACGTTCTTACGAGTTAACGATAAGCACTTCTAAAATGTGCTGCGAGTGGTTGCGCACCACCTCGAAAACACTTGTGTTCTCGATTTTTCTTCCACCTAAAATTTTATCCTATATTCACGTAATAAAGCATTGCTTAAACCATTTATCCAAAAATCGATTTTTTCGCAATTCTAAAGCGGCTTTACCCTTAAAATATGGTCTTTATTTAAAATTATAGTGCTGGCATTGGGACAATTGTTTACCATTCTTTGGCAAACGAAATTTAAATATAGGATTACATTATAATTTCTTTCAAATAAAGTATTTTAAAGAATTTGACAAAAAAATCTGTCGCTTAATTTTATTCATTTTATTGTTAACTGATACCCAAATTTATTAAGTGCTAAACTGTCATTAGTGATGAGGATTATCTAATGTAAATTTGAAGTAAACTTTTTTTTCACTCTTGGTATTGTATGTCATATACAGCTTTTTCCAGTAGTGACTGGTGGAAACTGAAGTGATCATAGGCGGGATTTCGCTCAAATCATTGAGGGGGCAAACATCTCGAAAAATTTTAACTCCCTTGAAGTTTAACCGAGTTTAATTTTTTTAGCTCAATTGCAATTTCCCCCCCTCCCCTTGCCCCCCTCAATCTTGCCTATGAAAGTGATCATATTTTGATAATGAATCATGGGGACCATATTGTCTTTTAGGAGATGATAGGATAGGAAAAAAATTCAAACAAAATTTGCAAAGCAAAAAATTAAAATAAGGGTTGCTTACCTTGCGAAGAAAAGGGTTGCATGTGTATGTGCAAAATATATATTTTTTCACAATCGAGTGACAAATAGAATTGTGTTTTCTTATTCTTTGGAAAATTAATATTTCTTTGTAGTTATATTAGTTAAGTTTATTAAATTTGATGCAACTTTACGCCTGATTGTATTTTTTCGGTCGATCTAAGTTGGGATCTTGTACTACAAGCCTAACTAACTTATTTCGTAAATTTCATTAGAACTTTTTTCATCACAAAGTTCTCTTTGTGGCCTTGAAATCATCTCCCAAAAAATGGTATGTGTGCTTTATAAAACAATTGGACAATTTAATTTTTGCCAGCCACCATTGGGTTTTTTCAAATACTGTCTGAATCATGGTTTTAAATCTCTCATATTATTTTTTCAAGAATAGAAAAATTTGGAAACTTATTAATCGTAATAGTTACCATTTTAAATTGAATTGATAAAGAATAAACAGGAACACATTAAGTTTCTGGTTCAGTTTGAAAATCTAGGTTTTGGAAATGCCTGAAGATTAAATATTAACCAATTTCTGACTGCTGATTATTGGTGAATCTGCTGTGAATGTGTGTGTGTGTATTGCTGAATGGTGGTCTGCTTTATAAGCAAACTATTACTAGCTTTAATTATCAGTGTTAGTAATTAGCTAATTTTTCATATTCAGGCATTTCCAATATCTCCTAGACTTAAACAAAAATTCATAAATTTAAATACGTGATGATTAGTCAGATTTTTAATAAGAAAATCCTTGAAAATAGTAGAACCCTCTCTTTATATAAACAAAATTAATTTAAATTTTATATCCCAAAAAAATTTTAGAAGGGCTTTCTTATTCATAGTAGTCGAACTGTAGGTATATATCTTTTTAATTATCAAGACGATTTTGGATGATGATTTGCACTTTGCTCTTATCCATTACATTTAATTTCAAATATATACGTACCTATCTGTTACCTATGTCCAGACTCAATTTTAAAAATTCAGTTAGTTAAAATTTTGGTATCAACCCTTTAGACCTAAAAATAAAATTTAAGGATGATTCTATATACTAAAAGTATAGTAACTATAATTTATAATGCTTTCAATAAGTTTTTGAAAATATACTTGACACATTAAAATTCAATATATAGAAAATATTCACTGAAAATTATCTTGTATACAATATGATGAATTAAACTCTGAACTTTTGAGAAACTAATATTAGAAATGCATACTGCGAAATTTAATTTTAACTTTATGAACAAAAAAAAGATTTATAATACATAGAATATTATGTTTATTAAATTAATGTTTTTAAACCCCGATGCCACCAAGTAATTTTTATATTTTTTTAAGTATACAGTAACTAATGTTGTGATGACACACCAATCTTTTTGACAATTTAATTTCATTTTCACATTGTTACCATACCAGTCAGCTGCATTACTGTAACGCTTCTTGAATATGGACGTAAAACTTGCAAATTGCCTACAGTGCCATGCCGTTTCCTTTGAATAAAAAAAAATCAATTTCTTGTACTGCAGAGATGTATGAAGCTTTGCTTAAAGTTGTCTGTGGATTGAACTACAGTCATTGTAATTTTTAAGTTAATAAATGTACATTATAATTTAGATCTTAGTTGGTTAACATTATGGACACCAAATAAATTATGTTTACTTTTCATGTACCTATTTTAAGTGTTAAATTATTGATTTGTTGTACTGTACATTCCGTTAATACAAATCAAATCATATTCTAAATTGCTGTACTCATATTGTTATACATTTACAGTAATAGAAAATTAAAATTTTAACTTTGTCTCATTTTGAGTATTGATATACCTTGATTCCTTAATACTGCATCTTCTAGATTATCTGAAAAAAGTTATCTAGAATAGTTATATTTCCTGTTAATAGTGTGTTGAGTGATTTACATACAGGGTGTTCTGATCTATAGGTGTAGAAGTTACGTTCAAGTTACGATCATAGGTAATAAGAAAAAGAATGAAGTTCAAATATTTTTTATTAAATTATTCCTAAAATAGATCCTTATTTGAGAACAACGATTTCTTCAAAATTGCTTATTTTATTGGAAAGGACCCCTCACAAACCTTATGGAAATGGATCCCCGGTGGATCTCTCTCAAATTTTGGGAATGAACTGTTCAGAGCATCCTGATCAAAAGTTCTGGGCACAAAACCTGGAAACCCCCCAAAGGTCAGGGGCTCATTATACCACACCACCAAAAAAATGATCAGCCAACACATGCAATATATGGTTTCCAGTGTATTTTTGAGCGCTGGACACGAATACGTCATCATTTTTGTTCTTGCACATATCAGTCTTCAGCAAATCACTGAACAAGCTTCAGAAAACTGAAGAAAGAATATTGTGGCCTGTGATTCATCAAATCTAATACCACATTATGAAATTATTGAATTGAATGAAAATGCAGTAAAAATTATATAATTTAAATTGTAACATTTTTCAGTTTTAAGAAAATTGAAAACTAAATTTGGGGTGTCATATAATAGTAAAATCGCCCGCAAATACGATTTTTAAAAAATTGTAACGGGGTCTACTAAATATAAATATTTCAGCTTCATATTTATTTTTTATGGAATTAACTTGTATACTTGGAACACCCTGTAGGTATGCATAATAAAATGTTATGTACAAAAGTGACCTAAATGTATATTACTTATAAAAACTAAAATAATTTTCCAAACACATATGGACAAATACAAAGTCAAAAGTCAATTTAATAAAAATTGTTTTTAAATAGCGGATTGTCTAAATTTAGTAAAGCTAGGTACATTCACCCAATATGAGGTATCACTATTATCAATACTATAGAACTAGAATTGTCCACTTAATAACTTGAATTTATATGCAGTCTAATCAACACCTGACCTATGAATTTAATATCCAATGACCATTTGCTAGCGTTTTGTTGTAATTGTACCCTAGGTAGGTACACAAGTTGTCGAACAGATATCAATCATAAAACATACCTATTGATTATACGACATCCATTTCATTGTAAACACAACAGATATCTACACCACATAATATATATCCTGTTAGAAATTAGTGGAATACTAATTTTATTTTGCATTTAAAATAAGAACAAAATAGTAATGGTTTAATAACCTGTTTATGGATAGTGTTAAATTATACAGAATTTATTTAAACAATGGGATGAACAGTTTCAGCTAAATTATCGACAAAATCATCTAAAAGTGACATATCAAATTCCTTGAGTTTAAAAAAAGCGGAATTATCAGAAAGGAACCAGTTGGACTCAAAAAAACCGGAAATAGTTGACCAGTACGCATGCGCCGTACTTGCCAATCAACTGACTGTTGACTCTGATGTAAGGTGAGGTGTCAAATTTAAAATAATAGTGTTATTGAAATTATGATGAATGAAAATTTATTATAAATGTAGAAATATTTTAACTATTTTTAGGAAAACTAATTCGCTGCTTAAAATGACTGGAAAATCTAGTACTGAAGTAAAGAAACTTTTAAATTCTGATAAAGGCTCTAACCTCACTTTAACTTCCTTTACAACAAAGGGTAAAAATTTAAAATTTCAGGTTTTACCTAGTCCTATTCAAAGTGAGAGCGACAGAAAGGAATACAAGTAAATAATTTATAGTTGTTATGGTGCATTTATTTATGTCACATATTTTAGAGTAATTAAACTGGAAAATGGTTTAACTGCCTGCCTTATTTCTGACAAAGCTCCTATAGATTTGATAGAAAATGAGTCCACTGAAAGCTCAGATTCAGAAGACGAAAGTTCTTCTGCTACAAATGAAGATGAAAATTCAAAGGACATGTCTGATACAGATGATGAATTCTTTAATAAAACCAAAGCACCTGAACAAAAAATGGTGATTGCTCTTAAATAACTGCGTATTTGATTTTAATATTATTATTACATTTCTATAGGCAGCAGCTGGTTTATGTATTGGTGTGGGCAGTTTTAGTGATCCCAAAGAAGTGCAAGGAATGGCTCACTTCTTGGAACATATGGTTTTTATGGGGAGCGAAAAGTTTCCAGAGGAGAATGATTTTGATTCATTCATAAAGGTATATGTAATTCTAATTCTTGGTACATTATTAATTATTAAAAAACTGCAGGCATGTTTAAGTATTTAAGGTAGGGTCACTGCAACGGTTTTTCATCATTTATTAATTTTTTTGAATTTAAGAATTGACAACTTCATCAAAAATTATTTGGAATCGACTTGTTACGAATCTAATAAAAGTAGTTCTAGAATCACTAAATATAGACAAATGTCTTTATGAGTTGAACGATTTTTGAATGAAAAAATAGTTGAACTCATTTTTTATCTGTTTTTGATCAACTTCAGCATGATTTTTACCTTAAATATTCGTATTTTCGACCATTGCTTTTATGTTAGAAGTAAAAGTTGAAAATAGAATCATAAAAATGCCAACAAAATAAAAAAAGGGATCTTTGGAGAATATTTTAGGAATAAATACAATTTATTTTTCTTGACTATTTTTGGATGACATACTACAATCCAAAGAATATATTTCAATAGAATAAGAAAAAAAAATGCATCCTAAATAATAGAAACCCCATATCTGTTGGTGGCCAAAAAGTGTCCATTTTCAGGTATTTTTGAAATGGATATTCATTACTTTGTATCCAGTATATTTTAATGTTTATAACATGAAAAGATTTTATACTAAGTGAAACTTATAACTTATAAATATGATATAGTCTTATGTACGAACTACGTAATCTTTTTAATGTAACATGAATTTGGGCATGTCACTGCGAAATGTTATTTTGTTATATGATATATGTTGCCAGTGATAATGTTGACATCGCTAATCACTATAAAAGACAAGTTATGAAGTTTGTCTATTTCAGAAAGGAGGTGGCAGTGATAACGCCTCAACAGATGCTGAGACAACTTGCTTTTACTTTGAGTGCCTTGAGAAACATTTGTATGAAGCATTAGATAAATTTGCTCAATTTTTTATTTCTCCTTTGATGAAAAAAGAAGCCATGGGAAGGGAAAGGGAAGCTATCGATTCTGGTAAATGTCTTTTATGCGATGTCTATTGAAAATTGTAATGTTGTTAATGTGTTCTTTATAGAATTTCAGATGGCCCTTCCTTCTGATGATATGCCCAAAGAGCAATTGCTCTGTAGTTTGGCGAACCCTAATTCGCCTGTGAATTCTTTTGGATGGGGGAATTTGAAAACATTAAGGGATAATATATCAGATGACAAGCTCTACGAAGGAGTGCATGAATTTAGAAAACGACACTATTCTGCACATAGAATGACCCTTGCTATACAGGTAACAACAAATTATTTTTTAATTATATAAGGAAATTCAGTAAAGTGGTAGAATAAATTATTTAAAGCACACAAATTTCATATAAAATTAGATAAAAATATATATTCTCAAATTTTTTTGAGGATGTTTAACGTGCACTGATGAAACTTGAACCACTGATTTACCTTGTTGGCAGCAAAAATTTGCTTAGTTGATTTACACATATGTCAGCGGGTGGGAGAATTTTGATGCCATCTCATTTAGTACTTTTTATTATCAATGACATTTCTTTGAAAAAAATGTCTCCCATTTTGTTCGAAGAACAAACCATTTTACAGTTCTAATCTTTTTTTTATTTTAAACTGAGCTTACCATACAGAATAAATTGATACTAACTAAAACTATTTCATCTACAAAAACAATGTATTGTGCTTACACAGATGGGTTATTGAGTTTTAAGACTGTAGCCAGAAAATAAAGGTAAATAGTCTGAATGTAAAAATTTTTAAATTTATCTATGTACGCCTCTCGCACATCAATATAGCGTTAGGCACGATCTGTCATTTGTTGCGTGCATTTATCGAAGTCTTCTGGTACTTCTTTCAGCTCCTTCATCATAACCTTTTAAATCGTTAGAATATCGTCAAAAAGACGGCCTTTTATATGTAATTTAATTTTTTGGAATAAAAAATAGTCAGCCGGAGCCAAATCCGGTGAATATGGTGAGTGGTGAAACACTAACATTTTTTCGAGTCAGAAACTGTCGAACAATGACAGCATTATGGGCTGGCATGTTATAGTATAACAGAACCTAGTCCATGGATGCCTACAATTCTGGGTGAACTCACGCTCTATTCAACAAATGATCCAACACATCTTTCTAAAACTCAGCATTGACCTTCTGCCTGGTAGAACAAATTATGGTTTATGCTCTGACAGTCGAAAAAATAATTGAGTCTCTTCGGTTTTGGAGACCCTTGGCCTGTCCATTCAGCATTCTGTCTTTTAGTCTTTTTTTTAGCAAAGCATCGCGATTCATCACTGGTAACGATTTTTTTTTTTAAATTCAAGATTGTTACTATGTGATTCGAGCAAATCCGAACACGAGGCTACACAGTCTTCCTTCTGCTCAGTCATCGAAGAATGCGGAACAAAGCAGGCACAAACCTTTTTTTTGCTCAAATCCCTGGTGATTATTTGATGGTCTCTTTATTGATGTGTACACTGTCCGCCAACATTCTGATCATTGATTGATGATCACACTTCTGTACAGAGCAAAGCTTCAATGTTTTTGATCATTTGGCTTGTGTGTTGATGCCCCGTTCTATTATTGTCATGTACGCTGTCTCGACCCTCACAAAACGTCACGAGCCACAGGAATACAGTTGGACGTAATACACACTCTTCATTGTACACCGTTTGTAACAGTTGATACATTTCCATGACTGTTTTACCGACTTTAAAATAGAACTTGATTATTGTATGCTGTTCAATGTCCCTTTCCATGACAACTATCAAAAACTCACTTCACATAAAATGTGGTAGATACACATATACTGCTTGGAAGTTTTCTCATTGCATAGTTCCATTGACCGCACATAGATAGCGCTAAGCACTTTGCCACAATAAAATCAGTCTTAAAACTTAACAGTCGAACTGTGTATGTATTTTCTAAGAGTATAAGCTACCAACAAAATCATATTTCTATTTTATGAATCTGTGACATGACATATTACATATTTGTAAAAAAAATTACCTACATTTTTTTTTGTGAAACAATTAATTTTAGAATCTTTTTCAATTTACTCGATTTCATAAGGTTAGTAGAATAAAATGTAAAATATATTTTTTCTTAGAAATATTACTTTAATTAAAATAAAAATCCAAATTGATGCTTTCATTGGCACTGATTTTCTGAATTTCCGCCACTGATTGACGTGTTTGTAAGCCGGCTAAGCAAATTTTTATCTCCAATAATACAGGGTGTCCCGAAATTCATGCAACAAAATTTGGTCATAGATTATTAAGACAAATTTAGGGGACCCGTATTTTTACTTTTTGCCAACTGGCCCCCTCTTTCGGAGTTACAGCTCCCTGAAATCTGCCCCTAAGAAGTCTTTTTTGTATCTCAAAACCATGTTGTACGAGAATCACTAAATTTGGTACACATAGGTTTTATGACATGTTAAATCTCACAGTATTACGCCTTTTGTCGAGAAACCCCCTTAAGACACTATTTCGTGGGCCCCTTGTCTTTGGAACGAGAAAAATTTGGTCGCAAATTTGATTTTTTTTAAATTATTAGTTAACTAGAAAGCAATTGAATTTAGAAACTTTTTTGTCTCTTGATATTTGTTTCGTAAAACGCAATGTTCTTGAGGAAAATAGCGAATCACGATATCCATTCGATCACATTTTGACGTTTTCCTCGAAAACATGGCGTTTTACGAAAAAAGTATAAAGAGACAAAAAGTTTCTAAATTTAATGGCTTTTTAGTGTACTGATAATTTTTAAGAAATTTAAATATGCAACCAAATTTTTTTGGCTCCTAAGACAAGGGGGCCCACGAAAAATTGTCTTAAGAGGGTTCCTTGCCAAAAAACGTAACACCATCAGATTCCACATGTCATGAATCCTCTGTGTGCTAAATTTAGTGATTCTCGTACAACAGGGTTCTCAGATATAAAAAAAAGATTATTCTTAGGGGCGGACTTCAGGGGGCTGTAACTCCGAAAAAGGGGGACACTTGGCAAAAATAAAAAATACGGGTCTCCTAAATTTGTCTTAGGAATCTGTGACCAAATTTTGTTGCATGAATTTCCGGACACCCTGTATATCTATATCACTGACAGTCTACTTCAAATATTCTGAGGGATAGATAGATTTTATATACAGGGTATCCAGTCAGTATCTACTAATCTCTCGGAAGCGTAAGACATTCAAAATGTCTTAGACGGTCAAAATAATATTAGGACTTCCTGTAACTTTTTTTGTCTAATGTACCTACTAGGAGATATTGGGCACTAAAGGGGTACCTAGAGATTTATGTTTTAGGTTTTAACCTTATATATTTTGATAAAATTTTGTCATAAGGAATGGCAGACAAGGTTAAATAATTTGAATCAGTTTTTTACTATTATAGAGTATTTGAAAATGGACTGGTTCCAATGTATATATTTTTCAAAATTTTGATATATGTCAATCTGTTTTGATATTTGAGAAAATATATGTATAATTTAAAACGAAACATTCTATGACCCTCGATTGTATGAAACCTTTTGCTTAGAATAATTTGTTTTATAATCCGAATCTGATTAAAATCTGAACCACCCTTTATAGCAGTAAAATACATTTTTTGTAGGCAAGATTACCAATGGAAACGTTACAGACCTATGTGCTAGACTGTTTTTATAATGTACCAAATAATAACTTACCCCCAGAAGATTTTTCTAAATTTGGGGATGGAATTTTTGATACACCTGAGTTTCAGAAAATGTACTACATTAAGCCAAACACAGATTTGTGTCAGGTAAATTGGACTATTATTTAATATTATATCAAGAAAAAGAAAGAAAAATATATCACATATTTTTTATATATAAGTCATTGCGGACATTTTTCAAACTTAACCTCTTCAGTCCCGAAAGTAAAACAAACCATTTTTTAAGTGAATATCTTTATTTATTAGATAATAAGTATCGGTAAAACATAAATATAGTACAAAATAAATAGTAATTTTTGTTCGGAATAATTCAACTAATTTCTCCAATGATTTCCCAAGAAAAGTAATTTACAGTACTAGCTTGTTTCCAAATTAAGTATGTTAGGAGTATTGCTGAAGTGTAACCTATAAAGAATTTTCATATTTGTCTGTGCTTTGTAGCTGTTCCAACATGAACAGCAAAAGCGGCAGCTATTTACCCTGTCACGTAACCTAAGATACAAATCGCGAGACATTGATTTTAAAAGAAACTATTTCTCATTATGAATTTGACTCTTTTTCAGTAGTAACACAATTAAAAAAATTACTATTTTGCTATTATCGCCTTAAAGCCAAAAAATTTTTAATGTGCTCTGTAGAACCTTCGTGCATTTTAGTACTACCACTAAAAGTCTCTAAAATCATCTTTTGAACACCACAAATTTTTTATATTACCCAATAAAATACATCGCCAGCGCTACAAATTTTTTTTTATATGAACTTCCACATAGCCATTGGTAAGTATCATACCAAGAATATTGAAATTTTTGCGAACTTTCCCGACTTCTATTTACGTTAAAAATTGCTGTTATTTTTGGTGTTGGCCGATTATTGAAAATTTGTTTCTTTACTTCATTAGGTCTTGAAGAAGGGGATTCATTATTATCTATGTATATGGATAATATAATATCTATTCATTATTATGCTTAATTAGTTGTTTTGTTGTAAGGAAGTTGTTTTTTATTTATTTTAAATTAATACCTGCCTTGTCCTTAAAGTCTTTATACTTTGTACTATGATCACTCAATCTAGACGTTACGTGGGTACTGCGAAATTGACACTGTAACTGTAAGCTAGATAGAGAGAGAGAGACTAGAAGCATGAGAAATGGGTCTTAACTTCCCCGCATATGGACGTTATTTTAACCACCTCGCGTGGAGGGGGAACTCTAGTATATTGTAGGCAAGTGTGACGCGCCTACAAGCGAAGAAATTCTGGCCTCGCTGTGGTGGGGACTAGTGGAGAGTAACAGTATCCAATGCCGCGCCGATGGAAATGATGGGCGGCGAGATATTCAATATTCAAACAATTATTTTATACTGTTTATTTTTTATTAATGTTATAGGTAACTGGAAATTAGTTTACCTAATTGTTTATTTAGGTTAATAGTAGAATAGAAGTTATCAAAATATATGGTGTGAGAGTCATATTTTACAGTGAGGCCCGGTCTTAGTTGCTTCATACGAAGAGTCGCGACTTGTGTAGGTGCTATAAACGCATGACTAGTATTACACTAGATGAAATAAACTTTTTTGAACTGATGATATTGTGAGAAAGAGTTGTTACTCCATGAACTATAAGTCTCTACTGAGAATTGAATTACACCCCAAAATATCTATTAAATAGAAAAGATCATTCATCAGGAGGGTCACTAGACATAGACCAGTGTCAAGCTTTTTAGCTCTCATCATTATGCTATAATAAGATGACCAACTAATAATTTAGCTATTTGGATGTTTATCTATATATAGACATATTTTGATTATCAGTGAGTTATAACCTATAAATGTGCAGACTGCCATTGAGTTATATCCTCAGTATCTAGTGAAAACTAGGACCATTTATCAGAAAAGTCAGCAGACATAGACCGATTTCGAAATTATTATTAATTCTTGTCAGCGTAAAGTAGCAATGATATTTAAAGATATGATATATCTGTAGATAAACATTCAAAGCTAAATCAATCATCATTTGTCTCACCTACTGACTAGAAGTAATAAGTTTCAAACTGGTCTGTCTGGCGACCGTCCATATAAATGATTTTATAGCACCAATGTGGAGTAGTTGTTTCCATAATAACATCAGTTTAATAAATATGGGGCATTCCACGCCAAATCGACCACTTTTAACTCTGACCCCTTTCAATTTGACTGAAATTTTTTTATTGTTTTCTACCCTATTTCTATTTTTTCAAATTTTTTCGCCCGACAAAAAAAAGAATTTTTGAAAAAAATAGCTATTTTTTTAAATTACCATAACTTTTTCAAAATTTTTGATTTTAAATGTACTTTTTGAAAAAAAATAGATCAAAATTATCTAGACCTATCCACTGTTTTTTCAATTTTTGAAAAAAAACGAAAATTTCTCGATGATTACCATTTTTGAATTTTTTTTTTTCTTATAAAACTTTTTTTTCAGTCAATAAAAGAAATAAAAAACTAAAAAAACACCACTGAAAAAATTTGAGGATTTATAAAAAATGTCAAATTTTTTTATAACAAATTTTGTTTCGAAAATTGAAAAAAAACAGTGAAGATAGATCCAGATAATTTTGATCTATTTTTTTTTCAAAAAGTACATTTAAAAACAAAAATTTTGAGAAATTGTCCCGATAACTCAATTTTTGAAAAAGTTATGGTTATTTAAAAAAAAGCTATTTTTTTTCAAAAATTCATAACTATTTTTGAGTTTGGTGAAAAAATTTGAAAAAATTCTCAGAAGTTCTCAATGGGGTAGAAAGCAATAAAAAAATTTCAGCCAAATCGAAAGGGATCAGAGTTAAAAGTGGTCGATTTGGCGTGGAATGCCCCATATATTTTATCACTAATTGATTATCTAGATGATTGACTTATAAATCAGTATTTTCAGTCGGTAAAAAGTTTTGATTTTATTTAAAAAAATTAAATATAAAATTATCCCAAAAATCTTATCAAATGATATCAAATGTTCTTTGATACCAGAAATCTAGTTGGAGAATGTAGCCCACAGAGTAGTTGTTTTCCGCAATATCATCAGTCTTGTCTGTGAGATTAGATATCTTTTGCTTACCTAGATCTTTGGTATCAAAGAACATTGTTCGACTTCATTTGATGGGATTTTTCATGACAATTTTTTAATTTATTTGAATTAGCTTAATGTCTTTAAAATAACGTAAAAAATATGAGAGCAATTGTAAAATTGTAAAAACTGTATTTCTTAAACTCGCAAGATATATTTTCAGCTTGATTTGACTTGGAGCTTACCCTGTCTTCAAGACAAATATAAGACCAAACCACACAACTACGTGGCTCATTTGATAGGA